TTTCAAAATTCATCAAGCGGGCCAGATTAAACCCCCCCAGTGGGCCATTTTTTGACCCACGGGCCATATGTTTGACACCAATGCTCTAGACTATATGTGTGCTCAGGGTGTACCCCACCCTTGCCTGCTGGGTTTAGCTCCAGTGCCGCTGTGACCCTGCAAAGGATTACTTTTTAAAAAAAATATATTTTATATTTTCAGATCGTTTCCAGCTCTATGGTTTGACACCAAACACGATGTTATTTTTGGCTAAACCAAAAGCTTTCTTTGGACGCAGATATAAATAGAGCCTATAATGTATACAAAGAACGTGTCACTGGAGCTGATGCCTTTATGACAATCCGTCACTTTTTATCTGAACAGATGTGAGAACCCGACTCCGATCTGAACGTTCTGTGTTCTGCTGGATATACGTGGACGTCCAGGATTCAGACAGAGGTTTCTTCAGACAGACGCTATAAAAAAAAAATCCATCGAACGGTCAGTAGTAAACCAGGTCCCATGGTGCACCTGTGCTGTGAGGTTTTGCAGTAACTGCCACAGATTATACAGGAGATGGTCACACACCAGGAAATGACATGAAGGGCGAGGAAGACACCCTGTTACAGGAGAGAGGAGTTTCACTGGAGGACAGGGAAAGATGGGCTGCGATTGGCTGTAATTGACAACCTGTCAACCAGGAGGACGTGATGGTTTAGGACTAGTTTAGTGCTGAAACATTCAGTCATCGTGACTTGAGGACTTCACTGCTTTACTGTCCTCCAGTCACACGGGAAACGACTCACGTTGATTACATTGAACAAACAGAACAAATTATTTCTGTGTTTGTGTTTGTGTTTGCTCAAAGGTTCAATCTCAGTAGTATATACGGTGAACATATGATGAGGTTTTGTTTACACTTGCAATAAAACTGTAAAACTGGATAATTTTTGTCATCTTTTATGTCTGCAGCTACTGATAAAGTCCCCAAAAATGTAAATGTATTTTATATAAAAATATATTCAATCTCAATACCCGTTTTGACGTGGATCGAGTGTGTGTTAATCTTCACTGCCACAAAAAACTCTGCCATTAGACGGAAAGGACAGACATCGCTGTGAATTTTCAATTAGACGACACTTTAACGCATGTTTAATATTCATACAGTCCTGACCGCGCGGGTGATGACTCCCCTCCCCCCCCCCCCCACTAACCCCCCCGCTGCCGTACACACCGCCTGTTTTCTGTGAAGTCAGAAGCAGGAGTTGAAAACCTGGAAGCCTGGAAAGGAAGTCAGAGCAATTAAAGAGCCATTAGCGCCACCTCTCTGAAAGAGCCATTAATCAAGAAGGAGCAGCGCTGCTCACAATGGCAAGCACAAAGTACATTAAGAAGAACCATCGACAGATGATTAAATCAAATGAAAGTTATCTCTATTTAAAAAGCCGTGTCCCTGGGATCGGAACGCGCCTTCCTTTTTTTGGACAGAAATATACTTTCTGAAAGCAATTTTCCAGGTAATGAAATTCTTGAATGTGGGTGTCAAACATACGGCCCGTGGGCCAAAACCGGCCCGCTAGGGTGTTCAATCCGGCCCACTTGATAAATAAAAAAAATACACAAACACTTCACATTCTGAATATTTTTGTTAAATAGGAATACATAATAATAAATAGCTAATATATGTGTACATCCTCGTATGAAAACAGAGGGGAAAAACATCAACTCAACTGAATGAGAATCAAATATATGTACTAAAATGTATATATGGTTTCATTAATTGTCACTAATATAATCCCAAATCATTTTCTCTGACGGCGGTCCAGCATCTCTGAGTCAGAACAAACTCTCCTTTGCCTCCTTTGTCTCCCTCTCTCCCCCATGTGAAGTTCTGTGGAGGGGGAGAACGCACCGCAGTCGTTGAATTTAGTGATTTGATCAAAAATATTAAAGATAAAACTCGAGGCTCCACCAGACGGTACTCTGCATCCACGCCTGTAGCAGTAAAGTGGATGTACATTCTAAAGTGGGATTGATATAGAGAATGAATATGGAGGTTATTGATCGCATTAGTCAGCCATATTGTGTAAACAGTGTCAAAAATATGGCAGCGTAGGTTTAATTAGGAATATTGATGAAACATCAGAGAATTTGCTGG